GAAGTTAGCGGTGCTTTAAACCATTTTCGATAACGATTATCACCAAATTTTACATATGTATTATCACCTCATTAGGGTTTTGAAATGCTCGCTCGTGAGTCATTATCACTTTTGCAGTGAAAAATTACAAGTAACCGAATAGTTACAAGATGAAAGCGATTGCCGGCTGCTATAGGGGACGGCTGAGCAGGAGGCATATATATCCTTTGCTAAATGAGTGTTTTGGAGTTTCGTTTACTGTATGAGCGGCAAAAGCATTTCATGGCTTTTTGCGAGTACTAAAATTAGTAAATGGGAAAAATGCTTAATTTTACGACACAATCTTTTTTACTGACGTCCTGATATTGTGCCTTTTTAGATTCCACTTCCATTTAGCTCTTATTACATCCAAGGATTCGGTACAGCTTTTCCAGAAACAGAACGAAGCTGTCCTGTAGTATTATCGTTTAGCAGTGGAATTACTCTTGCTGAATATTAAAATATTGTATTTGTACCACTTTTTTTGCTTCATCATTTGGAATGCATTTTGAAATAGATTTGAACCAAGAGTTTATCTTTGTAACTTTAAGAAAAAAACTTATTAATATGGATAGGAATAGAAAAGTACTTATCATTTTAGAATTAATGAATTCACTTTTACCAGTAATTACTTGAGTAAGATGGAAGGCCATTAACACTTTTTATTTGAATGCTTGAATAGGAGTACGTTTGTAAAGAACATTGAAGGATATATATATATATATATATATATATATATATATATATCGATGATTGCAGCTGCTATTTGGTTTCTGAAAAACGCTCATTCTTAGTTTCATTTCTTTGTTTTCATTGCTAAAATTCCTTCTACTTTTGGTGATTTGAGTGTAGATATCATAAAGAGATAACTTTTTAAACAAAGTTTATGAAACGATTTAAAGGGTACAGTGGGAATGACACGAAAGAAAATTTCTCAGATTTTGAACTGCTCAGATCTTGGTCCAGCAACTTCTGTTTCATTTCTCAAGGATGTTTCCAGCTCAGTGCTTCCAGACGATATTTTGGTAAATTATACTTGTAGCTTCTGTAAAAAAACTTTGCTTTATTGGGCATTAATATATATATATATATATATATGTATATATATATATATA